CTCTTTTGCTCTTCCTTTTCCTTATTTTGCTTTCCCATAACTTGGAAGCTTGGGCTTTCATCATCTTCCTCCTTCGTGAGATGTTTCTTCCACATCCATTCACTCCGGGAGTGGCTTTCTCGGATCCGCGCCTTCTTCGCTTCCTTCACCGCCTCTTCCCCGTCGTCTTCTCCATAGCTTGACCGCCTCTTCCTCGTTATCTTCTCCATTCATGCCGGATCCGCCTCCCCCGCAGCCTTCATCGCCTCTTCTTTACCTCTCCAGCTGTCTTCACCGCATTTTCTCCGCCGCCTCTTCATCGCCGTTCTTCTCCACCGCTGGATCCGCTGAAGCCGTTGCCGGATTTGATTGGGTATGGGCCTGTTTGTTTTGTTTGTTTTTTTTGTTTTCTTTCCTTTGTTTTGTGTTGGTTTTGGGTTTGTCTGGTTCTCTTAGAGTCCATATATGCGATTTGTTAAGCTTACCCTCATTGTGGTTGGGATCTATGAAATATTTTGGACATGCTCTATTGCCGAACTTTTATGATCGGCTCTGCTTCGCAGTACGAGCACGAGTACGATATGTACTTCTGAATATTTTCATAATTCTTCTTCTTGAGTGCTTCTTGATTTATTTTCACTTTGTTTGGTGTAAGTTTTGGGTTGTTTGGACTCTTGTAAGTGCCGTTTGGCTTTCTTAATTGACATATTTCTTCCGATAACAACTTAATAGATTGAGATAAGAAAAAAAAAAGAAAAAAAAAGAGAATAAAGGAGTTTTAAAAGTAATTTTGAGTTGTATTTTAAAAATATATTTAGTTAACATGTTTCATCCAAATTATGATTTAAAAACATAATTAAATTTTAAAAATAAACCAAATACTACCTGAGTTTTTAAAAATAAATTAATAACGATCATGCTACGTAACTCGAATGTCGCTGCTCGAAACGCGGCTCGACACCAAAATGACGTCGTTTTGGTGTCGATTTTGTTTTTTCTTTTTTTCTTTGTTCCCTGGTTTTGCAGAATGAAGAAGAAGAAGAAGAAGAAGAAGAAGGGAGAAGAAGAGAAGGGAGGAGGAGGAGGAGGAGGAGGGGAGGGGAGGGGGCCATAAAAACCGGTTTGAGGAGGAGGGGAGGCTGGGCAGACGACGGTGGTGCTGCGACATCGGCGGGGCTACGACGGAGGAGGAAGCAGAGGCGGCGGCGGGAGCTACGACGACGGCGGGAGCTACGACGACGGCGGGGCGGGGAGCTGCGACGCCGACCTTCTTCCTCTCCCTCCCTTCTCTTTCTCCTCTCCCTCTCTTTCTCTCCCTCTCCCTATCCCTCTCTTCCTCTCGAGCCATTTTCGAGCCTGGTAGCTTCGAGCTACCAGGCATTTTCCAATTAATAAATTAATTTTTTTAACCACAATCAAACAAAATCTTACACATATATCTACATTTCTAATTGAGGCCTCTTAATGTCATCTTTAATGATGTAAAATTAAAAGAATTAACAATGTGAGAGAGAGAGTAATGATGTGAAATTAGAAGAAATTAAAAATGAGAGAGAAAAAGAGAGAAGAGTGTATAACTAATTTACATAGGTGATAGTCATATTATCAAAGGTAGAATTAGAATGACAAAATTAAAGTGATAAATCATTTTTCATATATATATATATATTCATAACACTTCATATATACTTACTTTAAGATTATATTTAAATTATAATTTTAAACAATAAAAATTTAATTAATTTTTTATTTAAATCTATCATTTAAATGCAAAACCCGTAAGTCACGACCAAACACTTAAGAATTAAAATGTATTGTAAAAACAAAAAAAATAATAAAAAAACAATGGAAAGTGGGTACACGTGTACAGATGAGAGAAGCAAAAGAATCCCTCCTTTCAAGGCAAAATATGTGGACACATGTGCCCATATGTAGGTAAGCCCTGTTTGGAGGCAAAAGTCCAAATTCAGCACCCCAGACCCCAAAATACTTTATTCAATGTGGGACCCATTCTAGTATTTCCCAAGTAGGGCCCACCAATACAAGGGTAAAATTGGTATCTAACTTAGCCTGTGTTTGGCAAGTAGGTTTGCAGGCTTTTTTGGCTATTTTAGCCACAAAAAACAAAATAGGCTATTTTAGCCATAACAAACAAAACATCACATCCAACCCATAATCATTACATTCTTCTCTCACAAAAAAACTCAAAAAAGCCAAAAAGCCAAAAAGTCCTTCCCAAACCAAGCTTTTAAGCCCAGGTTAAAATAGCCAAAAAAGTCAAAAAGCCAAAAAGCCAACCTACTTCCCAAACGGAGGCTTAATAAAACCATACATATCATAATCATATCTTCTTTCTCTTTCTTTGTGAACAAAGCAAAGGAGGTGTTATTATTTTGAGAGTAGCTATATATAATTTTAAAATAATAATTTTATTGAGAATTTTAATAAAGTGAAAGAGAGATATTGAGAGAAGAGTGTGAATTCTTATATCACATGAATATTTTTTACATTATTAAAATTCTTAAATTAGAATTTCTAAATATTATTGTTATTTTAATATCCTATACTGGCCCCACTATTAAAATAGACAAATAAAAATAATAATTTTATTCACAAATATTAAATAATAAATTGAAAAATATTTAACAATCAACAATAGATAGGGAAAAGATAAAGTAATGATATATGTGAAACAGACACAAGCCACGTGTAAGATACTGACAAGAAAAGAGCCAAACCCCTTTTCAACCACCTACTTTTGTCAACCAACAACACCAAAACCAACACATGCTTTAGTGGTTTGAAAAATGGATTGATTTTTTAATTTTTTGATTTTTTTAATTATTTTAATTTGAGTTAAAAAGTTTGATTTAAAAATTTTTTTTTGACTTTTTAATTTTTTTTTTGAAAAAAAAATGAAATAATGATGAATTAAATATGATATTTTATTTTTTATGATTAAAATAATTTATTTTATTTTTTATGACTAAAATAATAATAAAAAAAAAAATCTACTTTAACTCTTTCCAATTGTTTGGAAAGTGGATTTGTTTGGAAAGGGGTTGGCTTTTTCACTCTTTGACTTTTTTTTTTGTTTGGAAAAGATTTTTGATTTTTTTAATTTTTTTGTGAGAAAAAGAATATAACGATTATAAGTGTAATATGATATTTTATTTTTTATGACTAAAATAATTTATTTTATTTTTTATGACTAAAATAATAAAAATAAAAAAAAAATCTACTTTAACTCTTTCCAAAGGATACTTTAGTGGTTTTTATTTGCAATTCAAACATCACAAATATTAAAATCCATAATATATTTTATTCAGCAAATCAAGGATTTTAGTTATTTATTATATCATGTGCTTATACACTCTATGTGGTCCCCACCTGCCTCAACCCAGAACAAAGGTGTTCCAAATATGTACTCACACACTTCCCACAGTCACTTCCATAGCCCCCACGCACCTCCATCAATTCTCTCTCTCTCTCTCTCTCTCAACAATTATACAACACAAAGTGCGGAAAAAAAAAAAAAATTCTATTTCTCATATCTTCTCAGTTTGAAATAAGAATTTGAAAGAATTACTCTTTCCGTTCCAAAATATTGGTTCCTTTTGAGAAATTCAACTTTTTTTAGTAGTATAATTATTACATTTGAAAAAAGTTAATTTTTCAAAATTACCCTTTTGATAGTATATTTTTTGGGAATATCAATATCATAATTGTAATTTTTATATTATTTATTAATTTAAAAGAAGGATAAAATAAGAAATTTATATTATTTTTGTACTTGATTTTTGAAGAGAGACTAATATTTTGAGGACGAGGAAGTATATATATATATATATATAAAGCAAATTATAATTATATTTTATTTATATTTTTTTATCTTTTCTAAATTTATAAATCATACATAATATTAAAATATCATTTAGAAACATATTTGTGTTTGTTTGGTGTTTGTAGAATAATTTTTGAGATAAAAAATACGAAAATTTATTTAATTTATCTTTTTTCAAAAGTAGTTTTGAAAAATTATTTTAAAGAGAATTTTAAAAAAAGTGATTAATTTGATGTGTATGAGAGTGATTTTGAAAAGTAAGTAACTAAACAAAATTTTAAAATTTTTTTTTAAAAAATTTATTTAGTTTGATTACTCTTGAAAATTTATTTGTAAAGAATTTTTCTCAAAAAAATTTCTAAAAAACAAACCAAACAAGACCATTATTTTAATAATTTTTTAAATTTTTACAAAAAGATGTAAAAAAAAATAATGTAACAATTTATAATAATTTTTTAACTAAAATATTTAATTCTCAAACAAAACTTGAAACCAAATAAATAAATTTCTTATAATTAATGTGAACCTCTCATTACTTTGTATATAAAAGTAAATAAATAAGATAAAAATATAAAATTATATGTAACATTGATCAGTATGACATTCCATCCAAAAAAAAAAAAAAAACCCGTATGAAATGAAATGATTAACAAAAATATTTAATAAAAAATCAAAATTAAACTTAATTATTGACAGGTCAATATACAAAATAATTTTTCATATTAATTACGTATTACTAGCATTATTGTGAAGCAAAGCAAAACCCTTCATTACCAAAACAAAGCAAAAACCCTAGCTCAACGTTTTTTTTTCAAGGGTGGGTGGGGATGTTCATCAATCTTACTCATAATTCGAAATTCTTAAAGCAAATTTACTAATATCACATATATCTTGTTCAAACTTTGCCGCTAACCTAAAATGTCTTACATTTACAATTCATTCCAGTACTCTTTCCTTCCCATTTTAAGGGAAAAGAAAATATGTGAAGTTAATAAAGAAAGTGATAGCAATATTAAACTCAAGTGTACCAAGAAAACAAGGCAATATTTTTTCATAAAAATGATGAATGTTAAAAAATTTCATTATTTTTTCACCTCTATCCATTTCTGGGTTCAAAAATCAACAGCACTACAAAAAAAAAAAAAAAACCATCATCATCATCATCAATAATAGCACATCCAAATTAACATGAGGGCACAGATTAAATAAAAAAATTGAGAGGGCAACCCTTATATGTGCCAGACATGTACATATACACCCTCCACTACAACATATATATGTCAAAAGCTACTGTTCTGAACTGCTCTTTCAAGAAAATTAAACCTTCCAAAGAGAAGGAAAAACAGAAAAAGAAAGAGAGAAAGAAATACTAACAAAGAAAAGTAGATAAAAATAAAAAGGAACCTCCATTCCCTACCCAAAAACAAAAAGAAGAAAAGCTTGGTATTCCATTCTCTTGGCCCCTCCCATGTCTTCACCAAACTTTCCTCCTCTCTTGCCATTACAAAACACTGACCTTACCTTCTTCTTCTCCCCCATATCCTCAAAAACCAATCAAATTAATTAGAACTCTGGAGTTCGGATCAGACCAACCCTGTCAGATTATAGACAGAGTGTAGATGTATAGATCTACACTAGTATTCATTCGTTCGTTCACAAAATCCGAGCAAATTCACACGAACAAGAATGGATTTTGGGGATGCAATGTAACATAGAACATCAAAACAAAACGATAACTACTCACCAGCAGGTTGTTTCTGCTCGGCTGGTTTAACCTGAACTGCAGTAGGAACGGCCTGACCAAAAGAGAAGCCCGGAGGCAACAGCTGATGTGAGTTCCCAGAAGACTGTGATGCGGCAAACTGCGCTGCATGGAGACCTTTCATATTACTTGCAGCTACAGCGACTGCTGCTTTTGCATCGGAAGTGCTTGTGCTAGATAGTGTAACAGGAGGACAAAGTGACAACATCCCCGTTGAAGATGTTGCAGGCGAGTGCTGGGACTGTTGTTCAGGGCGTCGCCTTGGAATATAATACCCACTAGTCACTGCAGCATTGGAGCCTCCACCAGTTGAATGAGGGCCTTGAGTTTGCAGGTATGGAGCAGAGAAGAATAGCTGTTGTTGCTGCACCATCTGTTTTGGCAACTGTTGTTGTATTTGAGACTTCGTTCCAGAGCTTGAAGAGGTAATATGGGGGTTGCCAAGTATTGATGGAACACTTCTGACACCAACCGGAGATGATTTCCGGCTTGGCACTGATGTGGAGTTCTTGGGCTGCTGAGAAGACAATGAAGAAGGTTGGGCGGTGGGTTTATTGCCAGGTTGTGAAGTGGAGGTCGATGTCCTCGGGCTTCCACTGGCACCACCACCCTTGGAGATGGAAGTTGTGGGAGACCCAACCACCATTGGAGGAGATGCAGAGGACTGATGGCTATGGCCATGGCTATTCGGACCTTGTTGCTGTCCTTGTGGAACTGTCGATGATGATTTCTGGCTAGCCCCGAAAGATATCTGAGTGTGACTTTGTTGGGTTCTAGCCTGCTGCTGCTGTTGGGTAAGGTTTTTCAAAGATGATGTGGTTGATGAGGCTAACGAAGATGGAACTTGTGAGGTAGTAGTAGCTCTTGATGAATTCTTCCACTGATGAGACTGAGATGGGTGGTTGTTGCTGCTGCTGCTGCTGCTTTGCACAAGATTTTGTGGGAAAGCAGAAGAGAGCGTAGCATTTGTAAACTTGGCAGCTGAAGGAGATGACGAGTTCAAATGGTCACCGTAAATGCTCCCATTACTTGTGGCAGGTGTCTTATTACGTGCTGCTGCAGCCGCCCCTAACTGTTGCTGCTGCTGTAGTTGCTGCTGCTGTTGTTGTTGTTGTTGCTGGTGCTGGTGCTGGTGCTTCTGCATCTGCAACAAATGTTGTTGATGATATTGTAGAGGAGTCTGTAGCTGAGAATTAGAAGCATTTACAGTACTGCCCATAGCGTTTGGCATGGCAGAACGGGAGCTCTGGGGAGGAGGAGCAGACACAAGGTTCAAAGTCCGAGTTGAGCTATCAATAACGCTGCCTTGGATAGCGGAGACTGATGCTTCTGTTAATGGTCTTGAAAAAATAATTGATTGCCCACCACCAGTTGTTGGAACCTTGTTCCCTCCTATGCCCTTTTTTTCTTCATCCATGCTAGAGGTATCACCACCTCCACCTCCACCTCCAGTTTTACCTTCTACAGAGATTCGGAAATTCTTCTTCTGCTGTGCTGCCATCATCTGATAGTTATGCCTATTGGCCTCTGGATGACCTTGGAGGACCGTATGATGATTTTGCGCCATGGATGACATGTCAATACCAGAAGCCATAGTAGTAGAATCATTGATAGAGGCAAATGACATAGCAAAAGTTTGCGGCAGATATTCAATTCCAGCAGCCTTCAAGGCCTGTTGTTGTGATTGTTGCTGCTGTTGTTTCTTTTCACCTTGATGGCCATGGCCAGCACCCCCATTGGCACCACCAGCAGCGACCGCTGGAGGAGGGGTGGTCATCAAAGCAAAGTTCTGGTGGTGAATGGGCACTGCAAAATTCTGACCATACATACTCATTGTGGCACGAGAAACTCGACCATCAGATGCAGCAGTTGACGGGCTATCTTCGCCACCCAGCTCAGTTTCAATCTGGCGACTTTGATGTGTATTTGAAAGATGCTGATTTGTCTGTTGCTGCTGTGATGACGACTGTGATGCCCGGTGGTTTTTGGGGGCAGGAAAGCTATGCAAGTTCCCGTTCCCATTCCCTCCATTGGTGCTACTACTGCCTTGTGGTCTCTGTTGCTGGCTTTGCAAATGTTTCTGAGACGATGAGGAACCACTGGAAATGCTTGTGTTTTGATGGCCCTGTTGCATTTGCTGCGACTGAGTGTTAGCATGTTGCTGTTGCTGCTGCTGCTGCTGAAGCTGAGACGGATGGATCATCTGAGAGGAATAGAAAGAACCATTGAAGAAAGGCATGGCCTGAGCATGAGCATGGGTTCCTCTGTAGGTTGGTGGTGCTCCGACGGCAGGAACTGGAAAAGGGTATGCATTGTTTTGCAGTATAGCCAAATACTGTGTTTCACTTGCAGGCATATTTGGGTAATTGAAGCTCACTGTCGCTGCCCCTGGGGGAGCTGAACCATTCACAGAAGCCGAGTTGGATGCAGTAGTTGAAGAAGCTACACTCCCTATGGCGGCTGCGGGAGACTTTGCAGATCCAGGTCGAACGGAAGCAGCTGCAGCAGCTGCCACCTGCTGCTGGTTCATGGGGAAGATAAAAGCAGCTGGTCCATGCTGTAAATTAGAGAGAGAAAACCCAAAATTAACACAACACATTAAAAAACGCCCATATAAGAGCATCTCCAACTCCTTCACCAAATTCCTACCCCAAATTTAAATTTGATATAAATTATGGTGAAAAAGAGAGCCAATCCTTTCATCAAATTTGTGATTTGTATCAAATCAAGTTTCCATCTTTCATCAAGTCAGGTACGAATCAAATCTTTACCAAATTTCGAAACTCCTCCTTCCCACTCAAGTTCGCTGAAATTATTAAAAGAACAAGAGGATTGGGGATTTTTTTTATTTATTATTATTATATAAAAAACCTGAATTGGTTAAAAGAGGTTTTTGAGATAGGTGAGGTATTTTTAAAAAGATTTGCCAGAAAATTTTGATTCTTACCATTGGAGTGTATATCAAAATGTCCAAACTTCTTAATAAATTTGATGGGAAAAAAAAGTGAAGGTCTGGAGAGGCTCTTAATTATTCATCAAATAAGAGAATAAAATATGGGGTTTGGAGGAAGAAATGGAAATGTACCAGTATATTATTTGGTGAAGCTCCAGGGGGCAAAGCTTGTTGAAGCAAAATCTGTTGTTGCTTTCTCTGTGTATCGGCAATGCTGGCTGCTTGAGAACTACCTTTGTCTTTCCCAGAATGGCCGGGGAAGATCGCAAGACCCCCCTGACCCTGACCCTTATCGTGCACAACAGAGTTGACGACACTCCTCCCGGCCCCAATGTTTCCATGAAGTTCTGCTGCAGAGGGCACCACATTGACATTGAGATTGCAGGGCTTTGCCCCGAACAACGATGCAGCAGAACCAGCTGCCGCTGCAGCTGACCAGAAAGGGTTCATCTTCATGCATTGCTGGAGATAGTGAATGTTCCGAGCAATGTAGCAATGCGTAGCACACCGCTTAGACCGGGGTTGAGAAAACATTGTCTGTTTGAAGAAAAGAAGGTTACAAACTCACAAATCACTTAAGCACCAAACACATAACATTAAAAATGCATAGTTAGTACCTGAATTGGTGTAGAAGGAATCCGGCTCGCGTCCATGGATACAACTCCTTGTAAAGGGGCCATATATCTGCTGATATGAATAACAAATTTGAATCAAATCACCACCAATATGCCACTAATTGATAGTAATGAAATTGAGCATCAAAACACAACAAAATCAATCCGATCATACCCCATCGGAGGAAGCCCACCAGGCCAGCTAGCTACAGACATTGGCAAAGGCAAAGAGTTGGGTTGAGCTGTGATTGGAAAACAGGCAATTACACCCACTCAATCAACAAAATCCCACTTGGCCAAAATCTTGGATAAAAAAGAAAAAGAAACAGATTTTTGTCTTCTAAAAACAAAATATGAGAAATCCGGTTAACAGTATACCTGTTTTCTCTGTATGTGGCTGTTCTATTTTCAATTGTTGCTGTTGTTGTTGATGATGTTTATGAGCATGCGGGTGTAATTTGTTGCTGGGACTGGAATCTCTTTCAGTTTTCTCCAAATCAAGATGAAGATCAATGTTCCTCTCCTTAATCAACACAGGAGAAGGCTTCTCCGATTCAGCCTCTTCTACGATGGCTTTCGCCTTTTTCAGCTCAGGCTCCGCCACATTCACCGCCTCATCTCCGCCACCTTTCGCCGCCTTCTCATCCTCCTTATCCTTACTCATCATCGGTCTTACCTCCTGCAAGATTCAACACCACAATGACTTTGGTCACACAGAGCCAAACCAAACCAAACCAAACCACAGTTGATGAAGCAAACGAAAAGTCCATCTACTCACGTCAGCTACTTCAGGTCCAGCCGGTTTATGCTCCGACGCCGTCACCACAAAATTGACCTCGGCTTCCCTTTCCGGCGACGATCTCGACTGAGGAGGTGGAGCCTGTTAAAAAAAATCATAAATAAATAAAAATCTATAAAATTGCAATAAATTAAGTCAACGACTACAAGATTTGCATTTTCTCTTCATCCTCACCATCAGATCTATCTGAAATTTTTCTTCCCGTTGGACTTCAATCTCTGGGATTGTTTGATTCCTGCATAAAATCAGACATGAAAGTACATAGAAATCTTTAGATTCGTCAAGGACTAAACGATTAGACAGAAAATTAATTAAAGCAAAAAACTTTGAGAAGCTCACGCTTTGGTCGCTGTCGTGTCCTCACGATCATCTTCTGGTTTGACAACACCCGATTCCTTTTTCGGAGAGGTGACCATCGCCGCCGCCGAGTCCTTCGCCGGACCCACATCTCGGGTTTCTCTGGATTCTTCAACCACAGGCTTTGACTCCGACAAGGCAGCCGATTCCGGTGGTGATGGTTCCGATGACGGTGGAACCGCCTGAGATCCGGCGAAATCGTGACCATTTTCGACTGTAGATCCTGGGTTCTTCTCCAAATTGGGAGATGAAATCTCAGTTTTCGGTGCCTGATCCATCTCGACCTTCATTGTCGCCGTTGTTGATGAAGAAATGGGACTGTTCCGAGCACTGAAACCACCCACCACGCTGTCTGATACTGGCCTCGGCCTTTTCCTCTTCGGTGCTGCAAAATTACATATATACACAAACAGATCTCTAGCAAAAAAAAAAAAGATCAGTTCCAAATCAAATCAAATCACCCAATTGCTTAGAACATATACAGAAATTGAATCGATTGGGCTGTGAAATGCTCTCAAGAAACGGACCAACAGCTGAGATAGGAGCTGGAGAGGAGCTAGAATTCTGCTGCACCACAGCCGATGATGACTGAGGCGCAGTCGATGTGGAGTTTGAGATCGGAGACGAAACTCTCGATTTCGCATCGCTGCTCGATTTGTTCACCTCTCTCGAATCGAACTTTGCTGAATCGTTGTTGTTCCCAACAATTTCTTTCTTCGAAGGGCCTTGCGATTGGGTCATCAAGCCATACAACACCTCCGCAATCTCAATCTCAAGCTCCTCTGGGTTTGAAGACAACGATTTTGACGATGATTTTGGTGGCCTTGGCTTGGGTCCATTGGGTTTCTACAAGAAAAAAAAGTTAAAAGAGTCAGTCAATTGAACAATCTATGAAGATAACAGAAAGGGGTTGAAGAAAAGAAAACTGACCATCTTCTTCCGAACCGAAGCATTGGAAGAAGACGGCGAGATTGGAGCCGCCGGAGGTGTTGAAGTTGAAGCCAAACTCGGTCTCACTGGTGAATTTGAAGCTTGGCGATGAATTTGCTCTGCTCCAACTCCATTACCAGGAACCCAGTATTCATGAGACCTCTTTGTGGAAGCTGAAACCACAAAAAAACACCCAACAGATTAGCAAAATCTCCGAATCTCTCAATACAAAATAGGCGATTCAGAACAGTCTAATCCACACCTGTTCGAGCTTTTCTTGGAACAGTAAAGCCTATCATTTCATCGGCTGGTTTCCAACCAGGTGCTGGTGAGAACGATTTTGTAGTTGCAGAGGGAGGAAAGCTCTTCCGGTGCTGATGGTGGTGGTTCGGCAATGAAGACGACATCGACGCCGCCGGATTAGGCGGCAACATCCTCACCGCTCCACCACTGCCGGCGGCGGCTGCTCCATCGTCATCCTCATCGTCCTCCTCATCATTCACGCTCTCCTCTGAACTGTCCTCGCCACCATCTTCTCTATTACTCCCGTGAATCAGCCTATCTCCTCTCCTCCTCTTGCTCCGACTCGACCGGTCTCGGTCCCGGTCCCGGTCCCTGTCTCGATCCCGATCCCGATCCCGATGATCTCGATCCTTCTTCACTCCTCGGTCTCGTAACCTCGCCGGTTCGTGCAACTCAACCGGTCCATCTTCCTCTGCAAAATTATGAGAATCAGAATCAAGAAAAACAAAAAAGAAAAATCGTCAAGAAATTTCAACCAAATCGATTCAAGAATGAATCGATGGATTTAGAATTAGATCTGAACAAGTAATCGGAATCGAACCCGGTGAATCTCTCAAGCTGTTACTTCTGTGTCTTCGTCTCGACAAACCGTTCGCCGATGCCGGAGGCATACTAACTCTTCTGGCTTCTCTGTTTCTGTCCATCCTTGATTGATTCTTCAATCTTTTCCGGGTAAAATCAAGCTATATACACAGATGATCATATACGAAACCCAAAGATCTTTCTATTAAAAACAATTACTTTCAGAAATGATATGAACTCTCTCTCTACCTCATCTATGTGCTTCTTCAGTCCTCTTCTGCCCCCTTCTTCTCTCTCTAACTTCTCTCTCTATCCTCTTTTTCTGCTCTCTATCTCAACATCCTTTTGGTATTTCACTATCGGCGAAACCCACTCCAAACCCTCCTGGAAGGCCTAGATTCATCGCTTTTGACACATAATTTTGATCTCAGCCCTTCATCTAGCGACACATCCAACGGCTAAACAACACTTTTCCAACATGGCAAAACTTCAGCCGTCCGATCCATACCACTCAACTCTGTGCGCTCTTACGGACACGTGTCAGTTGTTTACTTTCTCCACAAGGATCATGCTCACTCATCACTACCAATTTGCAATAAATAAATGGTAGAAAAAAATATACTATTATTATTATGATTAAAAGAGTCAACAATTTTGTAGACGATTTTTTTAAAAAGCTATAAAAGTCAAATTAACAATTCAAATTGAAACTCGATAGTTAAAAATAAATAATAAATATAATTAAAATATATATTCTTTTTAAATTATATTTTTTGTTTATATTTTTAAATAAAAAATGATCTTACAAAGTAATTATTAATTTTTGCTTAATTTATTTTTTTATAATTATTTTCTCAACAAATCTTATTAAATAAACAATTCAAATAATTTGATTTTTATACATATAGATTAATAGCTATTATTAAGCAACAATCTATATGTTTATTCGATGACTTATTATTAAATCTGTAATATATTAAAGAACTATTTGGTATCACTTATAGTAGTGTATTTTTTAATATTTTTAGATTAAATTATTTTTTATATTTTTACACATTTTTTTTAAAAAAATTAAAAATATATTTAATTAAATTATCTCAAACATTCCTTAAGTTTTTTATTTTTTATAAATATTTTTATTATAAAAAATGGGACCCAAAAGATAGAAACAAAAATATATATTCTAACCGTGAGGGTACTTATCAAGATCCAACAAATAGAGAAAAGCTCTACACTTTCCTTAAGAGTTGTGTGAGGTAACCGGTTATAGCCGGTGGCCAGGGACCTTGGTAAAAGCAACATGACGATCACAAGGAATCTATGTGACCGCAGAAAATATCGTTCCCACCCGGTCAAATTTCATTATTTCGGTTCCACGTTTTTTTTCTAAAATTTATTAAAATATTAATAAATACTAAATTTCCATAATTGCCCTTTTGGGCCCCACATGACTGGTGCAAAAATGAATGCAGCGAACGGACATGATGTCTCCAATTCCAAAAGCGAACTGTATTAGCGGTCCGATTGAAATCTGACATGGCGATAACATTATTTAAAGCTCTCAGATTCCAATTAGTCCCATCTGGCACCGAACCAGGACGGGTTCGGCTGGATGTGGAGCCGCGTGATTGATCTGGATCGTTCGAAGGATTTCAATCGGACGGAGGAGATTGGAAGTGCAGCGGGTTGTGGGAGGAAAAACTCGAGTCACGGTCACGGAACTTCCGAGAAAACTGTAGGTCCCATATTTTTTTAAGTTTGGAATTGGTTTCATTATTAAAATTATCTAAACCTCACCATTGTTTTTTTTAAAAAATTTAATTTATTTATTTATTAAGATTTAAAAAATAATTTAACAATAAAAAAAGTAAAAAAATATATATTTTTATTAAAATTATATGCAGATGCGTCATGTAAGTAAAGCTCATATTTTGAAAAAAAAAATATTTGAATCAACTAAGATAATATTGTATCATTAATTTATTCAATCATATTGTCATATATCTTATTATATATATAATGTGATAAATTGGCAATTTTTTATTAAAATATGTTAAAAAGTCATTTTTAAAGATTATTGTTTGTATTAAAAATATGTAAATATTTAATAAAATATATTAAAATTGCAAACATTTTCATATTTTACAATACTTATTGAAAGCCTCTAAACTGTTATTTGTAGGATGTTTTATTACAATTACACATAAATTTATTACTAATTAATGATATCACGTATTAATGGTGATATAAAAAAATTTAATTTTTACAACACTACTTTTGGTTTCAATTTTTAAAATTCAATTTATCTAAAATTGAGTTTTTTTTGTGTTTTTTTATTTTTAGTGAATTTTTTTAATATTTTGTACTTTTTATATGCATTTAACATAGATTTACCTAAAAAGTAAAATATTTATAAAAATATTTTAAAAAATTAATAAATACACAAGAATATAATAATGTATTAAGTTTTTAAATTTTTTGAAATATTTTTGATATTTCATGAATTTTTTAAAAATAATTCACAAATATTATATTTTTTAATTGTATGTACTTAAAAAAAAATAAAATTACCTAAAATTGTAACAAAAAATTCACTACAAATAAAGAAATGTGAAAAATAAAAAATTTTAATTTTTATAAAATTAAATTCTAAAGATTAAAACCAAACACGGTAGGATTTTTTTATTTTTATTTTTTTGAAATTATCATTATTTTAGGATCAATTTTTTTACAGCACAGTTTAAAATTAAAAATAAATAAATAAAATTGAGAATTCAATCACGCGCTCGTGACTGAGTGCACCAATAGAAGGTACCAAACCGGTTGTCCGACGTGGCATTGTCGTTTTCGTTGCGTGTTAACTTCTGATTGATCAACATCCACTTTTTTTTATGTCTAACAGTGCCAGAATATCTTTCCTTTTAACAAGAGCAAAGATAGGAGCACAGACTTGGTTAAGTTAAAAAAACAACTGACAGATTGGTTAGGCCACGTGGTAAGAAACTAGACTGACGTTCTTTGGAAAGAATATTTTATAATTTTATGAAAAAAGAAAAAAAAAATTTAATATAATATTTTATCATATTAATTTTTTAACTTATTTTATTTAAATAAATTAAATTAGTACTGATCATCTTAGCCGTGGAGGGCCTCCATTAAATTGACTTTTACTTTCCGCACCACCGTCCGTTTTTGACTGTGTGACACAGTCCTGTCACAAAAGAAGAACCCCATTTAAGAAGAACTGAATATATTTTCTTTTGTTTAATGGGACAGTTGTGGCCACGTAGGATGGATGTGGGGCCCACTTGAATGCGGGTTGACCCCACCGTAAAATGGATCCCTCTTTTTATTTTTTTGTTTTTGGTTTTGTCGGTTTGTGTGAGAGCTTCTTTCACAGTTCACACACCCTCACTATCGCGAAATGAAATGCAATCCCAAAGCGCTGCCACGTGTTCAGCCACAATGCTATGTCATCAGGCCCACGTGGCCCTTTTGTGACCATGCACATAAAAACCTAACTACAAGACCACCAACAATTACATCATCTAATTAGCCATGAAAGGAAGCAAAAAAGTGTAAATCTATTCAAAGGGAGAAAAAATGGGGCTAATTTATACCGACCTCTCCCATGATATTTGAGAAAATATAATAATTAGGATAATATTATGATATAAGCCTTTAAAAGGGTATGTTGAATAAAAAGTGTGATATTTATGAGTTTAATTATCACAATTATTATAATTTATAAATAAATAAATAAATTATAATTAAACATTATATAACATATAACAAAAATAAATAAATAAATAATTTATAATCAAAATAATATCATAATTAATGTTAAAATATATTATAATCAAATATTATAAAGGTCATAACAAAAAACACATAGAATTCCCAAATAATTATTACATCATTGTATTAATCCTTTTTTTTCAAAGCAAGGATTACAAAAAGGAACTAATGAATATGATGGGTAAACAATTGAATTAAGATAGGTAAAATATACATTTTGGTGTATAAAATATAACGATGTTGATTTTTATTATATGACTAATAAATGAATGATGATAAAATAAAACATATAGGTCAAGACTTCTCTATTTTGTTTTTTTAACAAATAATGGATTATTAAAAGAGTAATTTGTCATGTAAATATAAATTTTAAGAAAAAATGTAATTAATTTTCAGAATTATAGGGAATCAAGTATTTTTTTTTTATAAACATGTACTTTACCTATAACTTAAAATTAACAAGTGTCTATCAAAAATATTTAAAAAATAGACCGCGTTAGAATATTAAATTAATTGAGAGAAAAGATGGAAAAATAATAAAAGTAAAATCTACATTTATTTCTTTGTTTCCTCAATAAATCTAAAATTCAAAGAGTAATGCTAGAGATTCCAAATATTCTACCAAAAATTTTACCAAATGACGAGTCCCACACTCATGTAAGACATTTGGTAAGACATTTGGTAAAACTTTTGATAGAATTTTTGAGACCTCTAACATTTTTAAAATCCAAAACAACCATAGAAAATATAAAAAACCGTAACCATTTAATTCCAAATCCATTATAGATATGCAATTGTGTTTATTCATTAATATATAGAGACAATGATAATTACTCTACCTATCTTTAAGAAAAAAAGATTAAAGAAAATTACTGAACTTATACTAGTAACTTAAATGGTTTCTGAAATTTAAATTTAAAAGTGTTTGTAGAGTTCATTACAGATTCTGTTTCGATAATTCAAATTATTCATTTTATAAGATTTTCAGTTTATATCATTCATAAAAAATAAAAATAAATAAATCAATCCGATAATTGTAATATTTTTGTTTTATTATATTTGTGTTAAAAAAAATAGATAACAAATATATTTTTGAAAATAAACTATTTTTTTTTTAAGACAAACATAATTATTAATCACAAAATTCAACACAACCATGTAACATAAGTATGGGACCTATATAATTCACCTTATAAGAGAGGGTTGTATTTGATTTTGGAATTAATTTATATTTTCCGGGACTTTATTTTTTGGGAGGACAAAAGACTTAAAAAAAAAAAATTAATGCTCAGACTAATTAAAGAGTATGTTAAATTAAAAGTGTTATATATTAGATGAGTCACTACGAACATATTATTACATACTTATTTTGTACTCTCTATTCATAAAAAAGGTAACGTATAAACTTATATTGTATGTGTAAATTGCATATTGTGTTGATTCTTATTTGTTAATTTTAATTTTTAGGAATCATACTTACATGTTATGAGTGTGTATATAGTTTGGAACAAATATATGCAATGTTCTGTATATATTGT